CTATACAATGCGCCTTAAAAATTACTAGTGTAGAGGCCTCTTAAAAAACAGCTATATAAACATAATAGAACACCTAAAGTAACTGATGTGTGGCATCCTTTTAAAAAATACAAACGTGAGTGATCATATAGTGTAGACGCGAGACTTAGCAAGGTTTGATTATTATTCTGTATTAAATAAAAAAGTCCACATCACAAATGGCTTATACTATTTAAATAATAACTAATAAGCGTTCAAGTCCAGTATTATACATTAAACAATTATATTTTTCTTCCCCTTCATCGTTTAACGCAAGACGTAAAATAAATAACAATATAATAAAATGTTTAATAATCGACCGAAACTTTTTATTGTTATTATTATTATTATTATTTTTAGACAAACAATAATTTTGTTTTGCCGAACGAGTGGACTGATTTATAACCAACGTGGTATTAAATCCATAACTTCTCCAAAGTTCGTGAGTTAAAAGTTGACTTTTGGGGAGTTTTTTTTATAGGCATGCAATATATTTTTCTTTTCTATTTTGTTCACCTTTCGGCATTAGGTATATAATTTGTAAGAACGCGAGTGCTATGAATTGTGTATACCGGTTCAATTTTTAGATGACAGTCGCACAAGGTCTATTTGAAACGTATAATATAATAATATATTAGGTATAATTTGTAAGTATAAACAATAACGCACATCACTTGAGCATAGTATCAAACACACAATTGTAAGGCTGATTGATTATCTAAATTTATTTAATACACTGTCATTATAAACGCAGTAAAAATATTACAAAATGCTGTAAGTGAGTGCAAATTAAGGCTTAACGGAATGGTCGTGATTTTTTTGTTGCTTGACCTCTTGTTTGACGTCAACGGTAATGTATTCAGACAATCTTAATTAGATACCAGCATCGATTTGTCACAGACATTAATTATTGTCTAATTGATTGAAACCTAACGGAAATGAAAATAAACGCAAAGCCTCTAACTTGCATTTTATAAATGTCAACCCGACCTGTTTAGCATAATATACAGATTACAAACACAACACACACACAGTAGGTACAATATTTAAGCATATATATATATATATATATATACTTTCAACGACTATATCCCTTGTATAATGTTACGTTAATGTATATGCCGCCGAGGTACATTGTGCAAAAAGGTCTCGACGGGGACCGGTAAAACAAAAACAAAACAAAAAAAACTTAAAAGGCTAACATCCGTGTTACACATGTAGGTACATTATTATACAGTTGTTTTTGTATTACGGTTAACGCGACTATTGTATTGCGTTACACATATATTATGATACGGAGTCGAGTTGGAAAAATTAAGCTATAACATAAATGAAAAGAATTTTTTCATAAGACAGGTATTAGTATTATTATCAACACGGTATGTTATTGCAAAGGGGGTCGAGGGGACGCGATGAACTTTTATTGTTGTATACGACTGCTCTATTACTGTCTCTCTGTTATTATTATATTGTTTTTTTTTTTAATGGTATGATATACTCTCAATGCCCCGACAGCATTTGCAACCGGCAATTCCACAAAAAGCGCGAACGAAGTCAAAATTAGAATACAACATGTATGAAGTAGCTTTTTTAGTATTGTTAACATTATTATCGTCTGTTTTCTCTTGTGTATTACATCGGATAGCGTTTGCCAAACGGCATATAATATTGCGATTGAAACAACAACTGAGCCGCTTATAAAGTGAAATCCTCGAGCCGGGATTGCGCCGACACTATATATCTACAGTCGCGTACTTACACTTTAAAATAAACGTAAAATCGCAAAGCGGCGACGCATTAGGTAGGTACTGTAAAGTATATTCTATTAAAAAATATAACCGTTAGTGTTGTCCCTAATGGAGTTAAAGTACCACCAGTAGTGTCTGCGAGGCGGAAGCCGATGAGTCAGACGAAGGGCAAAAAAAAAAAAGCTAAGAAGTTAGTATATTTTACTCATCTGCCGTGCCGGTACGATTCCTTTGTACAATATAAAAGCTATTTACACGGTTGACGCGATACGATTTTACGGTAAATCTGGATTTTCAATTTAGTCATAATAAAATGGATTCGAGTACTAAGACTCTTAGGAAGATAAAACGTCAAGCTATAACACTATTGCGAAAACTCTATTGCTTACAATGGAGGACTAATAAAATTAATGCTTGAAAATAATCTCAGCGCTGGCAATGGACAGCGATGGACAAATTTAATTATACATTTTTTTTAATATTCTGGAATTTTTCAAAAAACTATACCACTAATGTGGCAGCGCTGGGTCTTCAAGACATGATGATATGATTATTATAATATGTAACCTTATTTTTCAACCAAATCTCTATAACAATGCTCCTGGGCTTTTACCGTCGTTACGCTTAAATTAATATTCAACAGATTACATTTTATAAGTTTCAATATTTTCATAATGGTTTAACGATTATAATGTAATTTTAAACTTTTTAGCTATTATAAATTGAATGTATAAAATCACACGTTTAATTAATGAGTTCACTTAAATGGCTGACCAATTCATTTGTATACAGTAAAAATCATAATATTAATGTTGGAAACCAAAAATAAAATCATCATCGAGTCGAATAGGATCAAAAAAAGCTGTTATTAGAATTTTATGAAATTAGTAGTAAATAAAATATATTAGTAAATAATCTTTATCTTTATTTTTTAAATTATTAATAGCTTCAACAGATTTCCCATTAATACTTTATTTTTCCAGGCCGCTACATTGATAACATTAAGTGGTAATTTGTTTCCTATTGTCATTTTAAAATAATATTATCGGGATGGAAAACATGTTTTTTATGTCCTCCAGACGATTATACTCGAATAAACTTACTTTTTCTCGGTTGGTTCTAAGTTTTGATGTGTTTCTCATTTTACTGGTATTTACAGTTAAAACGCATCAGTGGCGTTGAAGTGTGAAATCAAGCGACTGGCAAAAGGTTTTACGCATTTTGAGAAGGGAGATAAAACTCTATCCCTACATCCCGCATTGTTAAAAAAAAAAAATAACAACGGCACTACCTTAAAGCGTTTGCGAACAGAAAAAAAACTTAGCCGTCTTATATCATGCGAATGCTTCGAATATCAATGGGCCTCTTAAGTTTAATACGTTCGCACTCTAAACGCTTAATAAACATTAGCGTTGCAAGCGCCTCCGACGGTATTTTATGTGAAATTAAAAACAGTAAAAACTTTATTATTGTAAGTGTATACCACGTACCTAGGTGGTTTATATATTTATATGATTTTCCAGAGGCAATCTGGCGTACACAAACAATTTCTACTAATTGTGTTTCCATTAAGCTTTAAAAAATACATACTTTTTTTTTTGTTTCGGCCAAGTGTTGACAATATAATGATCGTAAAAAAAAAACGACCGACGAGCCAATTTATTATGGTCGATACAGTATTGTTATATTCAACGACCTAACCGTTTGTTATCATAATAATATTAAACTTTTCCGTTACCTACTTGCGACTTGAGAAGATCAAAGGTTATGTTTTATTCAATTTACGTTTTTTCTCGTCGTTATGAATAAAATCCGTTTTATGCAGAATACTTATGTTAATCTTCTATGTTCAAAGTCGAGTTAATGATGTTATATGGTTTTCTTATTCCAGTTTAGCATAAAATAATTGAGAACAGTAAGAGCTACTGTTCTCAATTATTACGAGTAGAGCACTCGTAATCTTTGTTGTTGTTATAATAATATAGGCTTGTACATTTTATACCGATTTTTTTTTTAACGCAATTTGTTTTAGGTATACCTACTTTATAGTTATGACGTAAATATATATATATATATTTTTTTTTATCATAAAACTTATATAAATCCCATAAAGTAATATGATCACCGCCTGTTTTAAAGTCGTAGCACGAGATTTTCCCAGTCTTCCTTACACGTAATAATCGCAAATTTTGAACTTTTCTAATTTTATCGATTTTTTCGGGTTTTATATTTTTATAAGAACCACGTGGACTTACACGGACCCGCCTAGAACCCACCATGAATAAATAAATGTATTTACGACGGTACGCTTTTTTTATTGCACTCTCCTGCACACTGTATACGATTATTATCGCCATCGTTAGTGTGTGTTTATAGCTATTGGCACAGTATCAATAACGTACGGGTAATTCCGCCCCTACAAATCACCGAGCCACCGTGTAACAACGTCTTAAATATATCAAACAAATAATTAAACGCCTCTGTCGGTTTGTACACACCATAATATTTTCATCGGTTCTCTTTGGGTCGCGGCCGGTAAGGAAATTTCGGTTTATTATTGAATCCTTGGCGTACGGCAACGATGTTAAGAGAAACAAAAATATAATAAAAATAAAACCTTTAAGTGAACGTCACTGCTAGCGCAATAATTTATATGAAATCCGTACATTCCGATAAATCATACATAGTTCTAACTCCCTCTCGGCCTATGCCGGCCTTTTATTTCTTTCTCAAATGTTTTACCCCGTTTTTTCGCAATATTTATATTTTTATTTTTTGTGCACAATGGCGGTGGTCACCGAAATGCGGTAAGTAACATTTCTTGGCTATGACCCCGCCTTCATTTTTTTTTTTTTTTTGGGCTCGCGTGCTCACTCGTTGGCCGGTCGCGGCTAATTTATTGCCGGCTACCGGCTTGTTCCCGTAGTTCCGATGGCTATATTTTTTTTTTTTTTTAATATTGTTGTACACCAAACGTTAAATATGCAAATCGTTACGTGCCGAGATTCAAACGCAGAACAAATTAAAAATTAAAAGCGCCCGGACGCGGTAAGTGGTTTTTTTCCTTATCCAAATGTGTCTTAAACACGAGCCGCGTAGCCGCCTCCTCCTCCTGTCCCGTACGCTACGGAATCACCGCGAGTACAGGTCCAAGGTTATTATTATTTGTAGGTACGTTTGTAGTTGAGTTTTTTTAAAGGGTTTTTTTTCAATTTATTGTCAAATCACACTTACCTATGTTGACGACGTCGCACGGTAACACGACGGTATCGTTGGTGACCACTCGGATTCTTTTGCCAGTGATACCGAACGAGGGCAGGTTTTCCGGTTCCGGAGTGGTGGTTGTGCGCCTCGGCGCTCCCAAAACTGTAAAACAAACAAAAGGAACTATTTAATAACAAGCGACCGGTATTTTAAAACCACATTTAGCTAAAACGAACACCGACGCCCGGTAATCGGGTCGGCGGCGAGGTCGTTTGAAAAGAAAAAAAGGAAAACGAGCCGAGACTTAGTATTTGCATTTAATTTGCTAATTATTATATCTACTACTACAATCAACGGACGGGTATTCAATCTTAGTCGCTGCTTGAACACAAGACGAAATGTGTCTGCCGGTTGGTACAGACTACAGACACGTAACGGATTACCGGGTAAAAACGAATAATAACGTCTACTAAATTTGTGTTGCAAACATTTCCTCGGCTTTTGAGTAATTAAAAACGAAATAATAATACCCGAGCACTACCTTCTTCTTCGGATTATTTTCTTTCTCCTCATTTGCCCATAGACGACGCTCATTGTACTTATACATAATAATATACTGTTACACCGTCCGACGATAAATCACAACGGCCTGTCACGGCGAGCCTATTTGGAAAGCATTTTGTTTCAACAAAATATACAGTATTGTTATATCTATTTCTTATACATAGCATGTACTGCCGAGCGCACACGCCCATTCACAAGCGCTGAGTGTATATTAATTGCTTAGGGAAAACGCTACTTTAGCCGTTTCTCGGTTGTTTTTAAAAAAAGTTGTTGCACTCGAGCAAAAAAAAAACAGAACTCATTATTGAGAAGAAAGAGTAGACATTCTTTATCAAATTTAATTTAACCAGCATAAACTCCACTTCTGCATCGAATTACGTGGACTTATTAACCCTAACAAAGGTAATTATTGTAATATTATAATGCACATACTAAAATCATAGCTATCTATTATATGTAGTGTGTGTAAAATGTAGTCATTAAGTAGTAAATTAATATTCTTTTAGGACGCTTCTAGGTATAACAAAGTGTATCAGTAGTCAGTGGATTGCATTATTCGATTTATTTTAATCTCGCGGGGGAATCGCGGTGTTATTGAATTGAAAAAGAAAATAATAATATATTCACCGTTCAGTAAATAAGTCGTTTGATGCGACTTAGTTGGTCCGAAAAGATACCTTTCTCGCGTGTGTGTTGGTGATTTCGGGTATGAATAACATAAAAGAACTATATCGCGACCACATATCGGCCTAGTGTTCGCGGGGGCCACCGTGTACCCGTAGTCCGGGTGTATAGTATTACAAATAAATGTGTATGGGGTGTACAAGTGGTGCGGTCGAAAAACATTGGAAACATTTTTATTTATCAGAAAATTGAATCCGCCGCATACCCCAATAACTAAATGCCGAGCAAAAGATTTATGAACGTATTCTCTCTCTGGCTCTTTGTCTTTCCATCTATTCCACGATAGTATTGCTATTGACCCAGAATGTAGTACACTGAGACAATATTGAAACGCGCACTATTGATGATAACCAAATACACATGGGACGGCCTCCGTCATATCAATATTGCAATCGAACAACAGCTGCTATTTCTCTCTCTGTTTTATTAGGTACCTCTCTCTATATCTCTCAATTTATCTCGGTTGTTTTTTTATTATAACAACGACATCTGTACCGAGGTATTCATGATTGGGTCGTCAACACAGCTATATGAAAACAGATAGCTCACTCGGCATGTAAACAAAAACCATGACGTCACGTGACTCAAAATGAAATCATTGTGGCCGCATATTCAAGCATAAAACTTCATAATAATATCACAGATTAGATAAAATAAATTATCTAATCTGTGACAATATAGTCATGAATCTTTTAAATATCTCCACAATAATTTACACTAATTGTTGCGGCTACACTGATATCATCGCGAGCCCCTAATCAGTATTTTTAAACATTTCCTTGGTTTTCAACCGAGTGAGCTATCTGTTTTCATATAGCATGTGCCATTAACACCAAGCATAGTCATACACATGGGAGCGCTACAGCTCGGTATTGTCTCTCTCGGTGATATCAATCATTGCGGCTCCTAGTATCTCGTGAAAATTGACTTACGCAAGACATGCTCGTATAACGGTTTGCACAACACGGTGTAGTTGTTGCAGGCACTTTGGACTTTTTCACCTCGCGATTAATTATATTTAACGGCCGGGCGAACGAAAAAACAACATCTCGGAGACGACGAGCAAAACTAAAATATATTGTAATAATAATAACAACAATAACGACGATAGTAATAATAACAATAAATAAAACAACGGATTATATGGCTGATGTACGGGCTGTATTGTGAAACTTGGAAAAGTAAATGAATAAATTTATGGGCCGGTGGTTGCATTGCGCGCGAGGAGCGGTCTTCCTCCTTGTCTCCGGTTTGCCGGACCGATAGCGAAAAGTTTTCGGTGAATATATTATAAAATATATATATATATATATATATATATATATAGGTATAGGTATAAATATATATACACACATAAGTTTTTTTTCTTGACAAAGAAGCTACCTACATAGTGATCTCTTTCGCGCGCTACCGTTGATCGATGGCGCTGGTAGCGGAACGATGGTCTTAAAGTTTTCTGGTCGCCAAAAATCGTTAAAGGTAAATTTATACACACCCGATGTGTACCACGGTAACCTCCCTCGATGAAACTCTCCGGCCTACCGATTAAACAGCGATTTTCCCAGAGCCTATACAGCTATAGCGGCGGTGACTGTGGTTCCCATTCAGTACGCACAGATGTGTGTTACTTATTATTTGTAGTACTTAAGCAGTTTACCAATAATTATTATCATCCATATACGCGGTTGCGGTCGCCTTCCGCTGTCGAGTTGTTTACAACACGATGATGACTTACGAGAAAAGTACTCTAATGATAATGCAACGGTAAGATTATAAACAATCGTTGCCAACCGAGAGTAACAACATTAAAACAAACAGAAGTTGTGCATTGACCGTTATTGAAATAACGTATTGAATCCTTAAAAAAACGGTCAAAATCCCAACTGTGACTTTAGTGCACTTTATAAATATTAGTAGGTTTTATTCATATATTATGTAAAATTCATATACAATTGGTTTTTATAATAGGCTATAATATAACTAGTTAAAAAAAAAGTGAACACAATAAAATTACTACACAATTTAAATAGGTCTACTTTCTTGAGCAATACACTCAATAACAGACTTTAAGAACCATCTTAACATGTATACTACATTGTATAGTATTTAATAATTATTATTATAGTAAATATTTACAATTTTAGGCTCATCTGAAATATAATTGAACATTGTTGCGGTGATTTCCTATTGCAGAAATGCTGAAATATTTAAGTAAAAAGGTACATTTCACTTACATACTATACAATTAAATTACTCGTGTACTCATGTACTTAGGGTAATAATATGATTAAAAGGTTTTACCGTATTTTTTTTCCTGCGCCGCTCATCTGTCAAGTAAATATGTAATAAATGATTAATAATGTTCAAGTATCTGAGAAGCCTGCAGAATATTTCCACGAATTTCTAATTAATTGGGCTGGTTCACTTTTAAAATTAAAGTCTGTTAAAAGTTTTTTTTAATTTATGATAACAGAAACTGTTTGGTGTATTTGATTAGTTTAAATTTTCGGAATTTTTTTTTTCACATCCGTCTGCCATGGTTTGTTTATTGTAGTTATTTTCAGAGTCGAGTATACGTATATAATACGTATCATGTATAAACATAATAATCATAATAAGAACCGGCTAATGGCAAACATTGTCTTTACGGTGCGCGCAGAAAGGAAATGATGCTTATAAATTTGAAAAAAATAAAAATAAAAATGGGGTCTGTCTTGAGCAGGTTACTGCCAGAACCCTATAGTGAGGTCGGTGTTATGGTCGTTTTTTAGCAATAATTTTTGACTTCCCTTCTCTTGCCCCTCCAACGTGCTTCCAAATTTTACCGACTGGAAAAGCGCGTGCCTGTCGCCGGTAACCCCTCGAGCTATATCCTCGGTTAGGAGAAAAATAAGAATAATATAAAACAAACCAACGCAAAAATTCGAAGACGGAAGTCATAAGAACAAAACTGGTAGCATTAGCCCGTTTCGCCGTGATTAATACAATATATAGTAAACCGGTCTCCGAGGCGATTATTTTTTCGGTGCACTTCCTTGCCGTTTTTTTTTATGACCGAATCGTACGTATCCGATCTTTGTTGCTTTTGTTTTTTTGGGGAGGGGGTGAGGAACCAATAAAGTTGAACGTACTTAATGGTTTTAAATTTTGACGTGTAATGTTTGAACGTTTGGCTTTTATTATCACATTGTTATTATTTATATTCTAACGTCTTAACTATATACATAACCTAACCTGACCCCCGTGTAAGCCCGCCAGTCTTGTAAATACGGTAGTAAAAACAAAAACAAAAATTAAAAAACAGTCGTTTGTCTCAAATGGATTTTGTTTTAAAAGTTTGGCACGTTTCCACAATTGGCATGGAATCAGTGTTCAATAAAGCTACTATTGTAAATACCACTCTCGTTTTGCTCACTTATTATTGCTCTATTAAGTTGAAAAAACATCGATATGTTCGTACTTCACGAAAAAACTAAGTTTTGAGGTATATTTTTTTAAGTGTTTTCTTTTTTTTATATTTAAAAATATCCAACTAAGTAAATTTGTATATTGATGTTAGTTTAAAGTGAGTATTCAAATTAAATACAACTACAACTTGTTGTTGCAGTGTAAATTACGAAGACAATATCAAACAACTTAGATGAATCATGTACGACCGAGATGGATATTTAATAATGCTGCTAGGTTATATTTTAATGTGTTATTCCTCAGACAATTGCAATGCCATATCAATAAACGCCTATTCTCGTTTTTCGACCACAGAAAATACTGCAACATTTATTGAAACAATTATAATTCCTGTTTATGGCCTGTATAACCGTAAAAAATTGTTCCGTCGTCCAATTGAACTAATGCGTTGTGCAGTAGTTAATAATAATCAAACTTATTTTAGAGCAGCGGATTAGGTATACCTA